AGTGACTCCATCCAGCCATCTCATTCTCTGTCGTCCCTTCTTCTATTGCCCTCAATCTTTCCCAGCATTAGGCCCTTCTCCAGTGATCTATCTATCTATCTATCTATCTATCTATCTATCTATCTATCTATCTATCTATCTATCTATCTATCTATCTATCTCCCTTTATAGGAACAACCATCTATATTGCTCAACTCAGAAGGGATGCCATGGCAATCAATTTTTTGGGCTATTTTTAAGAGTAATATACTGTATAGTGGACAATGGGAGCAGAAATCACAGTGTTCCATTAATCTTGTGAGCAGACCTTTTTCTCAGGTGTTTTCCCTGGATCATCTAGTCAATCAAGTAATGACTTATCAGTGATCTTTTCTTTTCATGTGTTATATGTATGGCAGCTTATATGTCATGCACAGCTTGTTGGAATAGGGCTTATCTGTCTCTTGTTGATGCACCTTTTTGTTGAACAAGAGCTGAACCCTTTATCTGATACCTGTTCGGTTCTTTCTACCCATGTCATGTGTATCTTTGTATATATCTTTCCCTGTGTATGTATGTGTGCTTTTAACTATGTGTGCTTGTCTATCTGTCTCTTACAAGGAATGGTATTTATCCCTGACTGGAAGGTTTCTCATGATGCAATTTTTAAAGGGTTCATAATATTTTCCTATCCTCTGTTGTTTATAACAACAACAACAACAACAACAACAACAACAATAATAATAATAATAATAATAATAATAATAATAATAAAAGTTGGAAGGGATCTTGGAGGTCTTCTAGTCCAACCCCATGATCAGGTAGGAAACCCTATATTATTTCAGACAAATGGTTGTCCAGTCTTTTTTTAAAAAAACTTCCAATGTTGGAGCATTCACAACTTCTGGAGGCAGGTTGTTTTGAATGTCCCTTAGTTCCTTGATCATAATCTATACAACAGAAGATTTGCATTGTCTTCCAAAATCATTATGTCCAGTCATGACAGCTCTCATATATCCCAGTTTTTTTGTTACAGAAAAGAGAAGAAAATCCCAAAGCTGCAGAGTTTTCAGTCTCTCCCACCAAAGAAAAACTACAAATAAGCATATTTTCTGTTTAGCAATGGGTAGTAGCAGTTCCTGAGCCGGTTCTCCCCAATAAGTTATGATCTTATGGTATTGATGTCCCTAATACATTTTTGGAAGGGAGGCTTGCCTTAAACATATGCCCTATTGCCTGTTGTTGCTGTTGTTCAGTTGGTAAGTTGTGTCCCACTCTTTGCGACACCATGGATCATAGCACAGCAGCCCCCTTGTCTCTTGGAGTTTGCCCAAATTCATGTTCATTCAATTGATGACATATTCTAACCATCTTATCCTCTGTTGTCCCCTTCTCATTTTGCCTTCCATCTTTCCTAACATCAGTGATTCCTCTCTTCTCATTTGGTGGCCAAAATATTTGAGCTTCAGCTTCAGTATCTATTCTACCAAAGAATAATCAGAATTGATTTTATTGATCTCTCTGCAGTCCAAAGGACTCTGAAGTCTTTTCCAACATATCTATGCACAAAACATGGAATTATTACACCGTAAAGAGAACAGACCTATAGTTTACTTGGATACTGTAACATTTTAAATCACCCATATATACATCACTTGTAATACCTTTGGTTCAGCTATTAGCATCTGATAAGGTCTTAAATTATATTCTAGTGACGAAGTCATCTCTACCCATGGGTGGGAAAGTGAGCACAAATCCAACAGTTGCTTCTATAGAATTTAGTCTAGACTCTAAAAACTAAAAACCAGAAAGGGATTTATGAGATGAAACCAGAATTTCATTCAATTGTAAGGAGATATATAAGCAATGGAAAGAGACAAACCTTTCTGGTTGCCTCCTATGCCTTGCAGTACCAAAAACCTTATTCTGATACTAGCACTGATTTTAATTTTTGCTAATAGTTTTGAAGTTCTTTCCTTGTTGTATTAGCTGGCTATGGAGATATTTTCTTATAATTGAGAGCCTTTTTGTAGTTCTACCTCCTCTACCAGTTTCCCTCCTCTACCAGTTTCCCTCTTCCATGGGGGCCTGCCTTTCCTACATCTGGCACAACCATCTTCTACTAATGGGATAACCTTATTTCCTGAATTTGCTTGCTGCTGAACATTCTTTTGTAGAGGCAGATTTTGTGATTTATTTATTTATTTTATTTATTTATGAGACTTATATACTGCTTTAAGTGCAAGGGTGTACACCAGTAAGCAATGTGTATATATATATATATATATATATATATATATATATATATATATATATATTTCCATTGCCCCCAACAATCTGGGTCCTCATTTTACCTACCCCGGAAGGATGGAAGGCTGAGTCAACCTTGAGCCGGTGAGATTTGAACCGCTGACCTGCTGAACACAGTCAGCTAAAGTGGCCTGCAGTACTGCACTCTAACTGCTGTGCCACCTCGGCTCATTCCAGCTGCTGCTCCCCAGGTTTTTGTATTTGAAACAAAGCAATTATTAAACACCACCACTCCTAAAAGCTATCTTCAGGCCAGCAAAGATATCTGACTTCTGTAGGAAAGAGATAGTCTAAGTGGATCCTCCACTAAGCAAGAAATTGAATTGGATGAACTTCAGACTCTATTTCACCTACAGAATTCTATGTTTCTAAAGTACTGTTAACCAGGCATGAACATCTACATCTCATCATCAGTTTTAGTCAGGACCTATGAATAGTATAGAACAGTGTTTCTCAACCTTGACAATTTTAAGGCATGTGGACTTCAACTCATTTCACATTGCTGGCTGTGGAATTCTGGGAGTTGAAGTCCACATGCCTTAAAATTGTCAAGGTTGAGAAACACTGGTATAGAACAACAGGATTGAAAGGGTTCTTGTACGTCGTCTAGTCCAGGGGTCGGCAACCTTAAACACTCAAAGAGCCACTTGGACCCGGTTCCCAGAGAAAAGAAAACACTGGGAGCTGCAAAACCTGTGTGTGTGCACATGCACAAGGGGGGGAGGAGCTTGATTGAAGAGTTTAATTAAAAAGAAATAGAGGCTGCTGTGCAAGCGCCTCTCTCTGTCTCTGTCTCTCTGCAAAGAAGAAGGACAAGGGGGGACGTGATAGCAGTGTTCCAATATCTCAGGGGCTGCCACAAAGAAGAGGGAGTCAAGCTATTTTCCAAAGTGCCTGAAGGCAGGACAAGAAGCAACGGGTGGAAACTAATCAAGGAGAGAAGCAACCTAGAACTGAGGAGAAACTTCCTGACAATTAGAACAATTAAGCAGTGGAACAACCTGCCTCCAGAAGCGGTGAATGCGCCAACACTGGAAGTTTTTAAGAAGAAACTGGACAGCCATTTGTCTGAAATGGTATAGGGTTTCCTGCCTGAGCAGGGGGTTGGACTAGATGACCTCCAAGGTCCCTTCCAACTTTATCATCATTATTATTTTTATAAATGGCAGAGGAGGCTGGGAGCTGCAGGAGAAGGCTCAAAGAGCCCGTGGTCTAGTCCAACCCTCTGCCCAAGCAAGAGACCCTATACCATTTCTGACAGATAGCAGACGAGTCTCTTGAAAGCTTCCCATGATGAAGCTCCCACAACATTTGAAGGCAAACGGTTCCATGGTTGATTGTTCTCACTGCCAGAAAATTTCTCCTTATTTCTAGGTTGAATTTCTCCTTGATCTGTTTCCATCTGTTATTCCTTGTCTGGCCTTCAGGTACTTTGGAAAATAGGTTTTTCCCCCCTCCTCTCTGTGAAAGCCCCTCAAATATTGGAACCCTGCTATCATGTCTTCCCTGGTCCTTCTCTTTACTCCATTAGCCATGCCCAGTTCCTGTAACTGCTCTTCATATGTTTTAGCCTCCAGTCCCTTAATCATCTTTATTGCTCTTCTCTGCTTACTAAAGATCAGCAGAGTCTCCCATGGTACAAATATGTAGCTTTACAAAGGAGTTTGAATGAAAAACCTTAAGGTCATACTGTGAAAGTGACTGGTAGAACCTTCTTCTAACTCATTTCTGAAACAAAGGTGCTTTTTTCAAAAGGCAACTGGACTTCCTTTTTTTTTCTTTGAAGACATTCTGCTTCTCATCCAAGAAGCTTCTTCAGTTCTTCCTCTTTAGAAGAAGCTTCTTGGATAAGAAGCAAAATGTCTTCAAAGAAAAAAAAGAAAGTCCAGTTGCCTTTTGAAAAAACACCTTTGGGACAACCATGACCTGGATGACTGACAATCTGCATAGTCATTTCTGAAGCATCTTCTCTCTACTTAGCTGGCATATGGATCTTTTGCCCCTGAAAGGAGAAATAGACACAATCTTTCCTTCTTCCGTATGACCCTCAATGAAGACCACCAGGTCCAAGGCATTGCTTCCCTGCTAAAGTATTTTGGTTGGACCTGGATTGGCCTCTTTGCTGAGGATGGTGACAAGGGAGAGCATTTTCTGATTACCTTGGAGGCCCTGTTCTCTCAGAATGGAATCTGTTCAGCTTTCATTCAAAGAGTGCCACATCGGGAGCAACAAAGGATGAATGCTTGGCATAAAATCTTTGATCTGATTGAAAGACTTAATGTCCATATTACACAGAGCAATGCGAGTATAATGGTTGTTTATGGAGATACGTTGACGATGAAGTGGTTGAGCAATCTATTATCTGCTGAAATTGATAGATGTAATAAAAAGGCATGTGATGGCAAAGTGTGGATTATGACAGCACAGATAGATGTTGCATTAATGAGTCAACAGTTAAAAACCAAATTGGACTTCTTCCAAGGATCTCTCTCCTTCAACCTTCATTCCATGGAGATAAGCACATTCCAAAATTTTCTCCAGCATCTCAAACCTGGCCAAAGTCCACAAGACAGGATTCTGAAAGTTTTCTGGGAAGACTTGTTTAAATGTGAATTTTCAGATTCACAACCTCCGTTAAAGTATACATGTACAGGGGAGGAAAGCATGGAATCCCTTCCTTCATTAACATTTGATATGGCCATGAGTGGCCCATGAGCATCTACAATGCAGTCCATGCAGTGGCCCATGCTTTGCATTCTGCAGCCTTGTCTCAAGCCATTCCCAGAAGAACACTGGGTGACAAAAGACTTCAGCCATGGCAGGTATTGTTTCAATATACATGTTCAAGCTATCCATTATATAATAAGATTAATGTTATTAATACATTTGTTTTACTTCAAGGATGAGAAGGCAACTGGACTTTCTTCCTTTCCTTTGAAGATGCTTTGCTTCTTATCCAAGAAACCTCTTCAGAGCTGAAGAAGCTTCTTGGATGAGAAGTGAAACATCTTCAAAGGAAAAATAAGGAACAGTTGCCTCAAGAAAAAAAGTATCTTTGGGATAACTTGGATGACTGGGAATCTCCATAGAAAAGTAAAAGCTTCTGGGGGGGGGAATGGAAAATCAGTGGGAAAAGGTTCATGGAAGTTGGATGGGACCTTAGTAATAATCAGGCCTCACAGTTGCCTACTGCAATATCCACTATTTCAGAATTTTTCTCCCAAGGGATTCAACCAACCCAAAACATACGAAAAGCTGGGAATGTATTGAAGGGAACTCCCTCCCAACACCTTTCATATTGAAATGAAGTTCCACCAAGCCACAGGAGCTAAGAATAGAATAGAGTAGAGTAGAGTAGAGTAGAGTAGAGTAGAGTAGAGTAGAGTAGAGTAGAGTAGAGTGGAGTGGAGTGGAGTGGAGTGGAGTGGAGTGGAGTGGAGTGGAGTGGAGTGGAGTGGAGTGGAATGGAATGGAATGGAATGGAACGGAACAGAACAGAATAGAGCTGTTGGAGGTCTTCTCATCCAGCCTCCCGCTCAAGCAGGAGAACCTATACCAGGGGTAGGCAACCTCGGCTCTTTTATGACTCATGGACTTCAACTCCTAGAATTCCTGAGTCAGCTATGCTGACTCAGGAATTCTGGGAGTTGAAGTCCATGAGTCATAAAAGAGCCGAGGTTGCCTACCTCTGACCTATACCATTTCAGACAAGTGACTGTCCAGTCTCTTCTTAAAAACCTCCAGTGATGGAGCACCCACGATTTCTGGTGGCAAGCTGTTCCACAAGTTAATTGTCCTCACTGTTAGGAACTTTCTCCTTAATTCCAAGTCACTTCTCTCTTTGCTCAGTTTCCAACCATTGTTTCTTGTCCTGCCCTCTGGTGCTTTGGAGAATAATTTGACTCCCTCTTCTTTGTGGTAGCCTCTCAAATACTGGAATACTGCTATCATGTCACCCCTATTTCTTCTTTTCTTTAGACTAGCCAACTAGTATGACTAACTTCAAGCAGTTTTCCGTTCATTGCAGTGGAGGGAATTAACTTGTTCTAAAAGGGATAGATAATTCAGAACATAACTGGAATGAATGAATAATTAATAAATAATGAATGGAATGAATGAATAATCCAGAATATATTGGGTTAAACTGGCTTTGTGAATATGGATCAGAGGCTAGTCCTGGATGAGATCATCATTCCATGTAAATAATGGCATTTGTTTAGGGGAAAATGTTTTGAATTATGAACTCTGTATTCATGTACTTCCTAATATAGAAAGGCATGAATTTATTTAGAAGTTTTATTTCAGTGTGAGTGATAGTCCATCAATCTTCAGGAGCAGTCATCTAAAAATGAATTATTCATATAAGAAAAACATATAAAGCCATTTCCCCCCCCCAAAAAAATATCTCTATTATTAACAATGGAACTAAATATTATCAGGTTTGAGCAGAAGTAAATAAGGTATATAGAGTATACTTGCAGATATTATTTGGGCAATTTTTTTACCTTAATATTTTTGGGTAATTTATATGGATCCCTGAGTGTTTCATACAAGTGTATCTGCCTACCTTTCTATTTATCTATCAATCTATCTTCTTTTCCATCAGCTCCACTTTTTTCTTCAAGGCATTTCTTTTAACAACTCAGCAGGAGAAACTGTGTCCTTCAATGTGGAAGGGGAAGTGGACAGCCAATTTGACATCACCAACCTGCTCATCTTCCCCAATCATACTTTGAAATCACTGAAAATTGGAAAGCTTGATCCCAAGTCTGCAAAAGGAAAATACATCTCAGTTAACAAAGATGCAATAGTGTGGCAAACAGCTTTTAACCAGGTGCACCCTGCAGGATCTTAGTTTTGTTTTAAATCACAGACTCAGGACCATGGAGAAGTGTAGTATTGGAAAAGATCACAAGGATCATACATTCCAGTCCTCTGCAATGTGCAGAATTGTTATTTAAACCAGCGGTCTCCAACTTTTCTAGCTTAGCAGACTGACATAGGTAGTGGTAGTGGCAGCAAGGCTGGGGAGATGGAATAGTTTTGTGCGTGCACCGCTTTCAGAAATGAAGCATTGTATGTGTGCACATGTTCATGCTCATCCACCACTTCTGCAGCCTGGTTCCAAATGAACTACTGCCCAGCACTGGGCTGTGGACCGGAGGTTGGGGACCCCTGATTTAAATCATCATGAAAAGTGCCTGTCCAGCCTCATGTTCAGAAGAGATAAAAGTGAAAAGTCCACAACTCCACAGATAGATTGTTGAACATCTCATGACCATCAACTACTCACAAAGTAGACCTTTAAGAGACTGATACTTGCTTTGATCACTTGTACTCCTTGATGCTACCAACTAATTATTTTAGTATTATTTATCTTTCAGTGTCTTTATGAAGTAATTCATATAGCTATTCTCCATTTTCCTTGTTTGTCTAACTGAATGTGAACACAGAACAATAGAAGATAGTGTCTGTAATCAAAATGATACATAACAGTAATAGGTACAACCTGTTAATGAACTGACATCTCCAAGAACAAATCTGAAATAGGAGTAGAGACTGATAACTTCCCCAAATAAGTTTTTACATTATTTCAAGAGGAAAGAATAGTATGTCTTCAGAATGAAAGATGCCTCTGAAGTTTGTTTCATTCATCACTTTTCATGCAGGAATTCATATACCAGGAACACTTCACACAATTTGTAGAAACCAACATTTAATAGTGCAAGAAATGTATGATTTCCTGGCAACTTGGGATACTATTGACCTCAGAACATCATCTTTAGTGTCTAGCTTTCTGCCTTGACTTTAATTTTCTTTATACTTGATGTTTTACAAAAAAAAGGACTAAAAAGAAAACTACCAAACCCACAGATATGTAGCAGAATGGAAAGGAAAGTACCAACTACTATCTTCAATTTATTTTTGCAAAAATATATAGGGGTTGCATATTGTTGTACTATGGCATTGTGCAATGGGCATTGTTGGACATGGTTGTTGCTGGACATTATTGTTGCACATCATGCAACTCCCTCATCAGGCAATTGGCAGCTTTCCCTAACTTATTAAAACAAAATTAAGACTTTCATGTCTGTGAACAGTATGTTCAAAGAGCTATAACTTGATCAAGATAAACTTCTGACTTTTTAAACAAGGAAAGTGTTGATTGCTGCCCCCTCCTTAATTTGGGGATCTAAAATAGAACAAAACAGCTTATTGAAAATTTATGGGCAAGTTTTGATTCTAAATTTTGATTCTAAATGACTTTTATTTTCTGGATAGATGATCCCGCATTCAGTGTGTAGTGAATATTGCCAGCCGGGGTATCAGAAGAAGAAGAAAGAAGGGAAAAAATTTTGTTGTTATGACTGTGCTCCATGTGCAGAAGGAAAGATTTCAGACCAGAAAGGTAGGTGAGGCTCTACATCAGTGGTTCTCAACTTGTGGGTCGAGACCCCAGTTGGGGTCGAACGACCATTTCACGGGGGTCGCCAAACAACGCAGTCCGCCATTTTCCCCCTTTTCCTTAGCTGTGCTACTCCCTTTTATTCTATTGGCTTTTGAAAGCCAATAGAATAGACTCTCTTGAATAGAGTCTAATTCTATAGCAGTGGTTCTCAACCTGTGAGTCGGGACCCCATTTGGGGTCGAACGACCATTTCACGGGGGTCGCCAAACAACACAGTCCGCCATTTTTTTCCCCTTTTCCTTAGCTGTGCTACTCCCTTTTATTCTATTGGCTTTTGAAAGCCAATAGAATAGACTCTCTTGAATAGAGTCTAATTCTATTGGCTTTCAAAAGCCAATAGGAATTGTCCAGGGTGTCTCTGCCCTGCTAAGCCCGCCAAAAGTCCCATTCTGCAAACCGTGCTGCACCAGTTGAGTAGTCCTCGACTTACAACCGGTTGAGTAGTCCTCGACTTACAACCGGCTGGGGGTCGCGGCATTAAAAAGGTTGAGAACCACTGCTCTATAGACAGTATACCAAACAGAGGGAGCATCATGAACAACTTGCCTCCAGAAGTTGTGAATGCTCCAATTTGTCTGAAATGGTATAGGGTTTCCAACAGGGGGTTGGATTAGAAAACTTCCAAGGTCCCTTCCAATACTACTACTACTACTACTACTACTACTACTACTACTACTACTATTATTATTATTATTATTATTATTATTATTATTATTATTATTATTATTACGGATCATCGCACAGTCAGCCAGATGTTCAGACTGGATTTGGCATTTTGTCTACCTATCAAGTCCTTACCCAGGACCTGGGATAGGCAGATGTGGATGTTGGATGGTATTACAGGTATCGTTGCAGGATGGAAGCAGTTCCTAGTAAGGCTGCCTTTTGCAATTGACTAATAGCGAATTTGTCAATGCCAATGGTGTTTAAGTGGTGCTCCAGTTGTTTTGGGATTGCACCCAAGGAGCCTATTACTATTGGTACTACTCTTGCTTGCTTTTGCCACAGTCTTTCTATTTCTATTTGTAGGTCTTTGTATTTTGTTATCTTCACCAGTTCTTTCTCTTCTATTCTGCTGTCTCCAGACTACTACTACTACTACTACTACTACTACTACTACTACTACTACCACTACTACTACTACTATTATTATTATTATTATTATTTTATTATTATTATTTGGAGAATGTTATCCAAATAAAAATGTAATGTCTTTTTGATGTAAAGCTGAGTCTCATTCTGAATGTGTACTTCAGACATTAGGTTCACATGGGAAATATATAAAAGCTATGATGACCATTAAATATAGCCTATATTTCTGTATTAAATCATGACAGGTAGCAGCCTTCAGGATTAAACACACACACATTTTTTAAAAAATATATCATTACATCAGAACTGAACTGAAATCTGTTCTTTTTCTTCCAGACATGAATGACTGTTTCAGATGCTCAGAAGATCAATATGCAAATGAAGACCATACTGAATGCATCCCCAAAGTCATAACTTTCCTCTCCTATGATGAACCGTTAGGAATCAGCTTAGCTTCAGCTGCTCTGCTTTCCTCCCTGACCACAGTCTTTGTGCTTGGAACTTTCATTAAGCACAGAGATACTCCAATTGTCAAAGCCAACAACCGGGATCTCTCCTACACTCTCCTTGTCTCCCTTCTGCTCTGTTTCCTCTGCTCTGTGCTGTTCCTTGGTAAGCCAAAGAGAGTCACCTGCCTTCTGCGACAGCCAACTTTTGGCATGACTTTCTCAATGGCCATTTCTTGTGTCTTGGCTAAAACTATCACTGTGGTGGTGGCTTTCATGGCAACAAGACCAGGATCCAACATGAGGAAATGGGTGGGAAAAAGACTAGCCAACTCCATTGTTCTCTGCTGTTTTTTCATTCAAGCAATTATTTGTATTGGGTGGATAACAATCTTTCCCCCATTCACGGATCTTGACAAACATTCATTCAGCAAATATATCATTCTAGAATGTAATGAAGACCCCATTGTGATGTTTTTCCTTGTCTTGGGATACATGGGGCTGCTTTCCATCATCAGCTTCACGGTGGCCTTCCTAGCCAGAAACCTTCCAGAGAGTTTCAATGAAGCCAAGTTCATCACCTTCAGCATGCTGGTGTTTTGCAGCATTTGGTTAGCTTTTCTTCCAGCCTACCTGAGCACCAAAGGGAAAAATAAAGTAGCAGTAGAGATCTTTTCCATCGTGGCCTCCAGTGCTGGCTTACTCAGTTGCATCTTTGTCCCAAAATGTTACATTATTCTGCTGAAATCAGAGTTGAACAGCAAGGAACAGTTGACAAAGAGAAAGAACTAAGAAGCTGATTCATTCATGAACCTTATTGTTTTAATGAGCTGTGACTTTTTTTTAATCTGTTGTGTCTGTATTGTTCTTTTCATTGACCTTGAGCTTAATAGTATTTTGTCTTTGCTGGTAGCTTTTGTCCTTGCTGGTATTTGATGGTATTATTGGGGTATTGATCATTTCTTCTGTGTTACTTCCACACCACAGATGGAGTTTGTTTGTTTATTTATTTGTCCAATTCATATAGCTGCCCTTCTCCCAACAAATGACTCTGGATGATATAATTTTAATGATAACTCTTTCTAGCAGCACTCTAAAATAATGCAAGTTGATGCTGAGTTAGCATTTTTCAGCCTATAGAAGTTGTGCTTTGCTAAATATTTAATTTTGGTTTGATTACCGGTCATATTGGTTAATTCCACAGTCTACTAGCAGTTAAGTAGCTAATAATAATAAATTGTATACATCTAAATAACTAAATAAATGTAAATAAATAAATAAACAGCATGTAAGGTAAAGTATTGCATAGCCTATTAGAGCACTTTATTTTTTTTATTTCATTTTACTTTATTTCTCTTTTTTGCCATTGACATTAATTTTTGCTATTGTTTTAACTTCAACTTCCAGAATTCTCCAGCAATCTTTAAGTAGACATAAAGAAAATACACTCTTTGTATGAGATTCCAAGAATGGCCTTACTGGATTCAGCCTAATTTATCTATTGTATAAATCCAAATAACTAAATAAATGTAAATAAATAAATAAAAATCATGCAGGGTAAAGTATTGCATAGCCTATTTTACTTTATTTATCTTTTTGCCACTGACATTATTTTTTGCTATTGTTTTAACTTCAACTCCCAGAATTCTCCAGCTAGCAGCAAGCTTTAAATAGACATAAAGAAAATACACTCTTTTTATGAGATTCCAAGAATGGCCTTGCTGGATTCAGCCTAATTTATCTATTAATTAGTTAGCTTTCTCACCTACATTTATTTTAGAAATACAGTGAAGCATGCATGGATACTCTTCTGTGTCTTCCATAACCACCACCTTAGATGAGGGAATAGTAGGGGAGCTCATCAAATTTGCAGATGACACTAAACTGGCAGGAATAGCCAACACTCCAGAAGACAAACTCAGGATCCAAAAAGATTGTGATAAACTTGAACAATGGGTCATGTCCAACAAAATGAGTTTCAATGTGGAGAAAAGTTTTACATTTAATCAGGGAAAATCAAAGGTTTAAGTACAGATAAGGTGAGACCTGGCTCAAAAACTCAAAAACAGCAACTGTGAGAGGGACCTTGGAGTCCTAGTGGACAATCACATGACTATGAGCCAGCAGTGTGCAGCAGCAGCCAAAAAAGCTAATGCAATCCTGGGTTGTATAAATAGAGGCATAGAATCAAGATCACGCGAAGTCTTAGTACCGCTTTATAAAACCCTAGTAAGACCACACCTGGAATACTGCAGCCAATTTTGGTCACCATACTACAAAAAAGATGTTGAGACCTTGGAAAAAGTTCAGAGAAGAGCAACTAAAATGCTCAAAGGCAGTGGTGGGATTCAGCTGGTTCACACCACTTCAGCAGAACCGGTAGCTAATTTTTTGTTGCCCAGGCCAGAATGGACTTCCGGAAGCAGTATCCACACAGATAACTGGTTGTTCACATATCTGAATCCCACTACTGATCAAAGACCTGGAGACTAAAACATATGAAGAACAGCTGCAGGACTTGGGTTTGGCTAGTGTCTAAAGAAAAGAAGAAACAGGGGTGACATGATAGAGTATTCCAGTATTTGAGGGGCTGTCACAAAGAAGAGGGGGTCAAACTATTCTCCAAACCATGAGAGGGAAAGACAAGAAGCAATGATTGGAAACTGACCAAAGAGAGAAGCAAGCTGAAATTAAGGGGAAACTTCCTAACAGTGAGGACAATTAACCAGTGGAACAGCTTGCCTTCAGAAATCGTGGGTGTTCCATCACTGGAGGTTTTTAAGAAGAGACGGGATAGTCTCTTGTCTGAAATAATATAGGTTCTCCTGCTCAGGCAGGAGGCTGGACTAGAAGACCTCCAAGGTCTCTTCCACCTCTATTCCTTTCCATTCCATTCCATTCCATTCCATTCTATTAGATATAAAGAATTATTAGATAACCAAGGAAACCTCAAATCAAGAGAAGAATTAGAAGAACAGGAAATAATTATAGATTGGTGACCATACGTACAGATTCAATCTAAACATAGTAAGGATATCGAAGAACACAGCAATAGGATAAAATTTTGACAGGTAAGGAAGGAAAATTTCTAACAAAAACAAAAAAAATATTTACTGGAGGTAGATTTGGAGGAAGAAATTTTAAAAGGGACAATGATAGCATGGGCATGAAATGTGGGCCGAAATATAGAATTGGAAGAATGGGAAAGATTATGGAACAGAAATTGCAAACTGACATTGTCAACTGCATATAAGGAAAATCAATATAAAATGTTCTATAGATGGCATTTAACACTGGCGAGATTGGCTAAAATGTATAAAAATACGAATCCAGAATGCTAGAAATGCAAAAATAAGGAGGGAACATTCTATCATATGTGGTGGCTGTGCCCTAAAGCAAAGATCTATTGGGAACGGATAAGGAGCTGGATACAGGAAATAACAAAGGTGCAAATTGAACTCAAACCTTAATTATTTGTTTTGGGTATAATAAATTTAAAGATGGACAAACAACTCCAATACATCATTGTACATATATTAACAGCAGCTCGCATAGTATATGCCCAGTGTTGGAAAGGTGAAAACATACCTACAAATGATATGATTATATATAAGATATTAGAATGCATGGAAATGAACAAGCTTACGCTAGAATTAAACGACAAGGAGGCAACAGAATTCTACGAGATATGGAACAAATGTTATGATTAGCTAGAACGGAGAAATAAAAAGATACGATTACTAATGCAAATAATTGTAAATAACACATATTGGATGTATAACACAGTACTGTTAAGGGAAAAATGTATTTTATTTTTGTTGTATAGTGAAAAAGGAATAAATAAAAATTAAAAAAAGATTGCAGAGCAATCTTTGAGCTCCTAGAATGGCCCATATTACACCTTTGCTCCATGAAGCTCACTAACTACCTGTCTGTTTATGAGTGCAGTTCAAGGTGTTGGTTGTGACCTTTAAAGCCCTTAATGGCATAGTGTCAAGCTACAAAATTTACTGTCATTTGGACCACCGTAGTGCTTCTAACTTGCCTACAGTTGCGGAGGGGAGAGGGGAGAGTTTGGGGTCCACAAGTGTTCCCTATCAGTGTGAGAGCCGAAGCCACTGAGATGTTTTGACGAGCTGAAGTTTCTTCTCATAACAATTGCTGGAAGATTAATTGGACAATGTGACTTGAACTATCAGAGAGGGGAGGGAGAGTTTTACTCTTTTAACTATCTGTTTCCCACGATATTACCAGAGCTAGCTTATCTTCTATCATACCGGTGTGCTATGCCTAATAAAGTTTACATTAGAGATTGCAATGTCTCTGGTGTTTTGCTTTGTTGGACTTTTCAACTGGAACTTGACACATAGGTCCATGCTACCTGATGGACCACCTCATTCTGCTAGGACAAGCCTGTCCTATTTGGGTCAGTAGAGAGGGGCCTGCTTCAGATCCAATTGCTCATAGAATTCTAACTATCGAGCCTTCTCTGCTACAGTGCATGCCCTTGTATAATCTTAGCCACTAAAGTAAGATCTGCCCCCATCCTCCTATCCTTCTGCAAGAACCTGAGGACCTGGCTCAGCCAGTCAGCCTGCAAACCAAACAGGGGGACTCCACACTGGAGGTAGCTGCTAGATTGATGGCAGACTCCACCTCCCCCTTGCTCTCTGCTCTCCACCCATCCATCTTTTTGGTTGTTGTATTGAGGTTGTCAAGCACCAGAGAAATCAAAAGATCCAGGCAGTTCAAATGGGTATAAAGATTTATTGCAAGCTTAAGCTCTCTACAAAAATCTGAACTACTAATGGTCCAAGCAAATTAGCGGTAGAAAAGAATCAATGAAATTCAAGGTGGGCTGGACTTAAATCTCTTGTGAGCACAAAGGGACTTGTGACTGATGACATGTTTGACCCCTTCTTCAGGCTCCGTCTGGTCATCATCTACAGATTATTATTCTTGTTGGGTTCCTTTATCATTGTTTATTGTTCTATTATTTTACTTCTGCTCCGTTTGCACCCCTTTCCTTTTCTTCCTTTTTGTTATTTGTAAGCCACCTAGAGTAGCCCCATGGTGAGATAGATGGCAAATAAATTAAATAAATAAATAAATAATCACCATGGCAATCCATTCCAGTGAAGGCTACTGTTGGTGGACCAATCAGAACTGACCAATGGACTTCCAGGCCACAGTCTCTACATATTTTTTTAGCAATAGCCATGAATCCAGGGGGGAGACTCAAGTCATGGACCTCTCCCTCAAAATAAAAAACTAACACTTCATGGAAGATTTGGTCATTTGTGTCTTCACTCCTATCCATTAGAACTTGACTTCACAGCTGACCAATTGTTTGTTGTTTTTAACCATTTAGTCATGTCCAACTCTTGGCGGCATTACAGCTACCTTGTCAAACACAATTTCTTTTCATTGTTGGATGTTCAACTTTGCATCAGATTTGATGTTATAAAGCCAGCGTGTTTTTTGCTTGCCCCTTCTTCTTGTTCCACTAATCATTCCTAGCATCCTGGACTGCTCCAATGACTTTGCATTCAGGACATAGCCAAAGTAAGTCAGACATAGTCTTATGATTTCAGCTTCCACTGATGTATCTGGTTTTATATGATTTAACACCTCTCTGTTAGTTACTCTGATTTGCCATGGTATACCATTAATTTATGTCAGCACCACACTTCAAAGACAACAATTCTTCTTTGATCAGCCATTCTTAGTGTCCAACTCTCACTGTAGGGAGCACACATCATTACAGAGAAGACTATTGATCTAACTAGCCTGCTTTTTGTATTTATATCAATATCTCTGCTTT